CCAGCAATGACTACAGATGTCATGCTTACACTGAGTAATTTTGCCAGAGATTACAAGATGGAACTGCCAAGCAAAGAAAAGTGATTAAACGACTATGAATCCTGCAACACTGGAAGTCTAATCTGGTTTACAGATGGCTCCAAAATGGGTCAAAATGTAGGGGGGATGTGGAATACACGACGAAAGGCCGCAATTCAACGAAAGCGAAGGGAATCTCGGAAAACACGCTCCTATGTTCCAGGCAGAGCTATGGAATGTGCAGAAGTCAATCGTCAACCGAAACTACACAAACCAGGAAATATATATCTTTTCAGATAGCCAATCAGTGCTTAACGCCCTAACTCGAACACGATATGCTCGAAATTGGTGACGCAGTCTGCGTTAATAAACTCAATAACTTGGGTCAAAAGAATAAAGTTGTTCTTAAATGGGTACCAGATCATTCAGGGCTAATCGGTAACTAGCAAGAGCAGGGGTACAGGGGCAACAGATGTGATCAGAAACTTTCTGTGGCATCCCTAGAAACCATGCTATGCAAATTCTTCACGACGACCTTCTAGGCGAATCGAAAAATACTGGTTAAACCAACCAGGATTAGAGCATGCTAAATCACTAATAGAAGGTTACTCGAAAAAACGGACTGCTGAGTTAATAGCCTTAACTGGACACTGCAAACTCAACAGACACCAATTTAGTATGAAATTATGCGTATATAGGAAGCGGCATTAGATATGTACTATATTACAGTTAAAAAAAAAAAAAAAAAAAAAAAAAATTCAATATCGTTTATTCAGTCTAGGCTGTTACAAGCACTTGTGAATGTCGAAAAGCTACGCCATCGGTTCGCAAAACTACGGCGGGAGACCTTGTACTGAGAAGAACCGGCAAGAAACTCAGCAAGGGCTGCTTTTTTCTCCCTGTTTTATTTCATACAGTGTCGTCCAATTGAAAGTTGACATCAAACTTGCAAACATGTGTTGAGGTCAACTTCCATCACATAATGTCAAATATGTAACAATCAATGAATTTACTAACAATAACTGCAAAGATAAGTCCCAAAATAGCAAGAAACAATTTTCAAAATAAAATGAACAAGTATATGAAAGGGAGTAAGTGCAAGGTTCTCTTCAAAACTCTTTCTATAACTGGGAGCCTTAGTTTTAATATAACTTTTGAAAAATTATCTACAAGTAAAATTACAACCAGGCCGTTTTATCATTCAAATATTGATTGACAGTATAATATCCTTTCTTAAGTAAACAATTCTTAATGTGTATTTTAAATTTATGAGGAGGCAAATCAAGGATATCAATAGGAATCTTATTATAGAAATGTATACCTTGACCCATAAATGATTTATGAACCTTCTGTAACCTGTAATTTGGTATCTTGAGTTTATTTTTATTCCTTGTATTAAAAGAATGTATGTCACTGTGTTTTAGATAATAGTTAATATTGCTTCGAACAAAAAGTATGCAATTATAAATGAATTGAGAAGCAACAGTCAAAATCCCGATTTCTTTAAATTTTTCTCTAAGAGATGTTCTAGAACTAAGTTGATAAATAGCCCTTATAGCTCTTTTTTGCAAGATAAATATAGTTTCAATATCGGCTGCTGATCCCCAGAGAATAATACCATAGGATACAATACTATGAAAGTAACTAAAGTATACAGTTCTAGCAGTAGCTACATCAGTAAGTTGTCTTATTTTACGTATGGCATAGGCTGCTGAACTAAGTTTACCAGCTAGCAGAGAAATATGAGGATACCATTGCAATTTCGAGTCTATGGTTATACCTAAGAATATCGTTGACTCAACTAAATCTAGGTTTTCATTGTTTAGTTTAATTCTAATGGTTTCGCTTCTAACATTAGGTAAAGTGAATTTAATGCATTTGGTTTTATTTGCATTTAATTTTAAGTTATTTACATTAAACCAGTGCAATACTTGTGAGAGAGCATTATTTACATCGTCAAAGTTATTCTTGTATCGGTCAACCTTAAATAATAAAGAAGTATCATCAGCAAACAATACGATCTCACACAATTTTTCCACAAAAAATGGCAAATCGTTTATGTACAATAAAAATAGAAACGGACCTAAAATCGATCCCTGGGGAACGCCCATTTTCACATAAGATCCAGATGACTTAACACCATTTACCTCTACAGTTTGAACTCTGGAACTGAGATACGATAGTAGCAAGTTTTGGGCTGCGCCTTTGATTCCATAGTGATTTAATTTTAACATCAGCGTCTGGTGCTCAACGCATTCAAACGCCTTGGATAAGTCACAGAATACCCCAAGAACATTCTGCGACTTCTCCCAGGCTTCCATTATATGTCTTATAAGTGCAACACCCGCATCCGTTGTTGATCTACCCCTAGTAAAGCCAAATTGATTATTATGTAACAGTTTGTTCAAACTGACATGCGATAATAATTGATCTAAAATAATTTTTTCGAAAATTTTACTTAATACCGGTAATATTGATATAGGTCTGTAATTACCGGGATCATCTCTTATGCCGTTTTTGAAGAGAGGGATAACTTTACTATATTTCATAAGGTCTGGAAAATCACCTTGATCAATACACTTATTGAATATATCTGCAAGATAAGGAGCGATAACTGTTATTATACTTTTAGTAATTTTAATAGACATTCCAAACAAATCACACGTATTTTTCTTTTTAAGTGAGTTAAAGCATTTTATAATATCCATAAAATCAACATGTTTAAACGTAAACAGTTTATTACACCGAGGCACACACGTCTCTAGCAAACTCTTAGCACCCGCTGGCGTCGAATTCAAATTAGAAGTAGTGATTAATGGTATATTAACAAAATATTCATTAAAAGTATTGGCAATCTGTTCTTTTGTTTTAATTTGAATATTATCTACTTTAAGTGCGATCCCATCATCGAGGGTTCTTTCTTTACCAGTTTCTCTATTAATAACATTCCATGTCGTTTTAATTTTATTATTAGATTTTATGATTTTATTTTTTATGTAATTGGATTTGGCTGTTGCACATACACTTTTGAATGTTTTTGAGTACCTTTTAACATAATCAATGAAACCCTGAGAGTGATTGTACTTCCTTAAGTAGTACAAATCATAAAGTTTATTTCTGCTCTTATAAATACCAGACGTAGCCCAGTCACAGAAGTTCAACTTTTGAGTTAATTTCAAAGTTTTAAGCGGAAAAGCCTTATCGAATTCTTTCTTAACCAAAGTGAACATATTGCCGTAAAGAATATTAGGATCCTCATGTGTCCATGGCATTAGAAACATTTTATCATCAATATTGTTTTGAAAATTTTCTAAACGTTTATTTGTTACTGGTCTTAATTCAATGAATTTGGGCTTAGTAGTGTCATTTGTATTATATGTTATTTTTAAGCCGTAATGATCTGATGTGATACAATTAATAATTGATTTACTAACTGGATTATAATCAGTAAATATATTATCCAAACAAGTAGCTGAATGAGATGTTACTCTAGTAGGCTCAAAAAATTGATGTACCAAATTAAAACATTTGAATAGTGATGTTAGGCGAATTGACATTGAATTATTTTCAAGAATGTTAATATTGAAGTCACCAACTACAATCAAAAACTTATTTTTAGACTTTAACTTTTTTAGAACATTCTCCATCACTGATTCAAAAACACTAATGTTGCCTAGAGGGGGTCTGTATACACATACTATAATAAATTCACTGAATTCAACACAGGATAGCTCAATAATACGTTCTACTGAGAGGCCAACTATGTCCTTCCTATCCCTAGTTTTTATATTTTTATTTACAAAAATTAATGTGCCACCGTGTATAGCTGCAGTACGAACATATGCACTTATCATTTGAAAATTGTTTATGCTAAAAGACACCTCAGAAGACTTAAGCCAGTGTTCAGATAAACAGATAACATGAATATCCTGGCTCTTTGCAAATAGTTCTAATTCTAAATCTTTGCCAGCCAACCCTTGAATATTCTGATAAATAATATTAATTTTGTTGGATTTGGCTGTTGTCGTACCCCTCAGTTTAAATTTGAGTTGGTCACCCTATTTTCTAAATTAATAATTTTATTAGTGCTGACACTAAAACAATCCAGTTGCATAGACTTTGTTATACCATGTATAACTGAGTTTTGTATATTAAAAGCTAACAAAGTAGCTATCCGAGTCTTATATTTTTTTGCAAGATACATAGTATCTGTGGTCAACTTAAATTTACTAATATATTTATTTATATCAAAATATAAAAAATTGTCACTATGACTATTTAATAAATTATAAATTATTAAATTCAAATTAAAGATGCGCTTGTTTTGTTCCCTAGTTAAATTTTCTGCATATGGGAAAGCGCTTATTATTATTTTACACTTGCACCTAGACTGATAGTTAAGTAGCACCTCTATATTTCTATACATATCTCTTGCTCTTATTTTAGAGCTGTCACCACACATAATAACTATGTTTGTCAAACTGTCCGCATCATATGATCATCGTTATGAAAAATAACTAATACCCATCAAATAACAAATTACAAGAAACACTATGTCCATGCATTACGATCATTTAGATAATCATCAGCTTTATAATAGCCTTTATTCATAAGAGTATTCTTGATCTGAGGTTTAAATTTGGTCAGTGGAAGCTCAATCAGATCTTGGGGAACTTTTTTAAACAATGCAATACTACAACCCAGAAATGAATCTCTTGATTTTTGGAGTCTGAATCATGGAAGAATAATAAATCAAATTAAAATATGGGTCAGTAGCGAATGCCTTTTTATGACTTCTCCCTATTCTCGCAGTGTACCGCCCATGCTCCAGGGCATACATCACCCTCTGCGCCTCATACCCACATTCTATTGTAAAAGAATAAAGAAAACTGAAGACTAGGCTGTATGCATATTGTTTCATTTGACTTACCTAAAAAAGGGAGAACGGAAAAAAAGATATTACGTACGTCAGACGTCAGATTCAGTTTCAGTCGAAGGCATTTTTATTTACCTTCTCTACAAACAAATTTAGAATTGTTTAAAATATTTCTTCCTGTAAATAGATAAAATGTCTGAAAGTACAGAAAAGCTAGAAAATGGTTCAGATGCTAGAAGACGAATCCTTAACATAGCAGTATCCACAGTTCTGTTGGAAACTGGTTTTGAATCTGCAGATAAAATGTCTTTAGAAACTCTTACGGAAATGCTGCAATGTTGTACGTATAAGAGTTAATATCAATTATTTATTAGTGTCTTGACCGATATCTTTTGAATCTAGTAATCAACGTCATTTCGAATGTAATACGTTTGCAATCCTCAACTCCAAAGGCTCAATTATGAATATCATAGAAAGTACCCTACCAACTCCATTCATGTTTCCCCTTTTGGTTGAATTATGTACAAAATTTCTTTTAGATAGTGAAAATGGTACTTAATTCCATTATATGTAATTGAATTTCGGGGTAATTTGTAGGGGGGGTGGAGGGGGGGCTCCCCCCGACCCCCCCGCCATAAAAGATTTTTGGCGGAAATGCAGTTTTTTTTTTTTACCTAACCTAAAAATTCATTAAATCTGTTAAATGTAGTGGAATTTCAGGGGGATAGGTATTAGGGAAGACCCCTCAGAAGGAAGGGTAAATCCCCCTCCCCCCTCCCGGCGTTTTTTTACAGAAATGATAATTATAAAAAATTAGAGGGGTTTTAAAGGTAAAACTGTACTTCCAGGGCCTAGAGATGATATTTGATTTTTTTGTAGAAAAAGTCTCTATTAACGAATTTTTCTTTCTGGCGCTTCGCCGGCCGCTGCCGCGGCACGCTCGCTTCGCTCGCTCGGCTCGCGCGTTAAGGTCACAACACTAACTTAACCTAACCTAGTGTGAAGTATCACCACACAAGCGGCTCATTAGAGTCCAAAACTCGCACTACACTCGACTCTTCAGGCGAAGGGCCAGCAGAACTCGAGGTCGAACGCTTTGAGGATGCCATGGTAGTCAGACGACGTTAATATCAACAGGAGTACGAAAAAGCTCTCAACTGCGACGAACACAAACACTGACTGACAGATCTCATTAATGGCGGTAAATTGTCACATTTTGACAATAGTACCAACATAATAAACTTATATTTACCATAGACAACGAGAAACATGTTATTTTTGCATAAAAAAATGGCAGCACTGATCAAAATTGCTGTCAAAATTGACTCATAACCTACAAAAATATTAATTTTCAATAATTTTTTTTTCGAGTTCTATTCGTTTCCGCCTAAAAAGATTTCGTGTACGTGTTTTTAATAGTTAACACTTTGCGTGACAAAAATTTCAGCTTGCAACTCAATTACATATAATGGAAAGCTGAGCCATAACATTTACAATACTCAATGCTTTTAAATTACTCGTGCATTTTTTTCAGTTTTGACTGAAGTTGGCAATTCAGCTAAAGGGTACTGTGAACTTTCAGGAAGAGTTGAACCTGTTTTGGGAGATGTTGTAATGGCACTGATAAACATGGGTATGTCTTCTTTTTATTTTATTATTATCTACACCAAAATAAACTAGTCTACAATCTAATCAAAGTTATTTAAGTATTAAACTGTGCCCTTGTACAGTCAATATTATTATTTTGCAATCTGTGTGAATACAAAAGTCAGGAATATATAAATTATAAAAGAAACTGCTGATTATTATTAAAAGCTACAATCACAGCTGATGTTAAGTAAGTTTTTTATTTCCTAATATCCAAACATAAATAAAAATTATGCAATATTTTTTATGTACAGGTATCAATCTTCAAGGTCTAGAACAATATGCAGCCCGTCCTAATAGACATATAATCCAGCCTCCACAACAAGCACCAGCTCCTAAGACTCCAGCTATGCTATCAGCAGGATCCAAGGCAAAACCAGCTCCCCATATACCATTCCATTTACCACCTCTGCCTGATCCTCATGCGTACATTCGAACTCCAGTGAGTACATGCATATTGAGTCTATTACTTGATTCTCTAATCTTAAATTCAATTAAACAGTACTTGAGGTCTGACTGTTTATGCAACAAAGTACTCTGGTCTTGGCATTTACAAATTTTTAAGGCCTCACCGGAAAAATCATCGAAAACAATTCATCGAATTACAATTCTTCGAACACAATTCATCGAAAAAATAATTCGTCGAACAACAATTCTTCGAACGGTAATTCCCCGAAAAACAATTTCATGCTTTTTATATTTCATATTATTAGTGACAGAACCGAAGTGGGGCGGGGGGGCGCAGCCCCCGCAAGGGGGGCTCGGGGGGCGAAGCCCCCCGCAATGAATAAAGTCTAAAGAGTTCATTAGGTTAGGTTAGGTTAGTATGATGACCAAAAACGCGCGAGCAGAGCGAGCGTGCCGCGGCAGCGGCCGGCGAAGCGCCAGAAACGACACTTTTGTACGTGCAACGTTTTTTTTTTCATACTTTTTCCCCTTTCCCCACCTCGTTTTAGCCTCCCTCCTGCTAAATTTTCATTATTTTTTTTGGAATTACCGTTCGAAGAATTGTATTTTGACGAATTGTTTTTTCGATGAATTGTGTTCGAAGAATTGTAATTTCGACGAATTGTTTTTTCGATGAATTGTGTTCGAAGAATTGTAATTCGATGAATTGTTTTCGATCAATTTTCCGCAAATCTTTTTAAGGGCCAGAAAAACCTGCCATATTTTGCATAGTTTATTTTTTACAATCAAACAATGTAGCTCTTGTTTATATTCTAAATTCATTTATAATTTCAGACTCACAAGCAACCAGTTACTGAATATGAAGCTATAAGAGAGAAGGCTGCTACACAAAAGAGGGACATTGAAAGAGCTCTAACCAAGTTTTTGGCAAAAACAAGTGAGACACATAATCTCTTCAACACTGAAGACAATCAAGTATTCCCTTGTAAGTATTATTCTATTCACCTCAAATACAAAAATATATTTAATGATATGGTGTATTAACTGAACATTGTACTTTTCAGTGATTGCATGCAAACCAACATTTCCAGCATATTTGCCTTGCCTATTACCTACAGATCAGGTATTTGATTTTGATGAATTGGAATATCATTTCCAAGTAGCTAATAGGACAGAAGATATGCCTACAGAAAAGAAAGGTAACTGTTATTTGTAGTGTTGTACCTTGTAAATATGGCAATACTTCATTTGTATTGATATTATAGAATTGTTTGTATTATTTTTGTTATGATTTTATAGATCAATCAGACAATGAGGGTGACAATGGTGGAGATAATGACCCAAATGCTTCGCAATCAGAAAGTCAAGACAATAACACTGCTACATCTAGTCCGGACAGAAATAAAGCTGGCGGATAAATATGAAATGACATACCTAAATGATATATATTTATGATAAATGGTGGTTACTTAAGGATACTCTATGTTTTATTACAAATAAATATTGGCATGATACCTTAATTTAAAACCAAATTTGTTAAGAGTTGCTCCTTTTCATTAGCTATAGCATAGAACATGATAAGGACGATTTACATTGTACAGTGTACAATGTACACTGACAACATTTTAGGTTTGAGGACTTACTAAAATAAGCCCCCCAGGAGGGGAGTAGGCATTCACAGCATTCCCCTCTGTCGGTTTTCCTCAGCTGTTGAGCCAGCTCAAAAACAAAACTAGTTGCGCGTCGGATATTTCACTAGACGAGTTAAATCGCGCGAGTGTAATTTACAGACCAAAAAACCGGCCAAGTGCGAGTCGGACTCGCGCACCGAGGTTTCTGTGCACACTATACCTCAAAGCGTTCATGAGAAAAAGAGGTAGTAACTTTAAAATTTTCAAAAATATTTTTTATTATATGATGTTACTCAAAATTTACGGTTTTCGCAATTTTCCTTTATATGTACTATAAGACGTTACTTCGTACCAAATTTCAAGATTCTAAGTTCACGGCACTCTGTAGGTTTTGATTCCCGTGCGAGTTTCGAAAATTTGCGGCATAAATGGCTGTATCTTTTGATTGCTTTGGTTTAGATGTTTGATTTTTTCACAGCTCCAAGGGACAGTAGACCTGAGTATAGATATGAATTTCAGTTTGATACCTATATGCGTTTGTGAGAATAACGGTCTTGACAGACGGATGACAAAGTGATCCTATAAGGGTTCTGTTTTTTCTTTTGAGGTACGGAACCCTAAAAATAACTGTACTTCAAATAATAAAAACCGACCAAGTGCGAGTCGGACTTGCACACCGAGGGTTCCGTACAAACCTGTAGGTATATAAGTAAAAGTAAATTATTTCATTTAATTCAATAATGTATGTAGTCAAGTAAGTAGATAGCCTAGTCTAGGAAACTACCTACCTACTATGTAGTTTTGTTTTCAACGTGAGTGTAGGTAGATTACTCCTTTGTCTCTTTTTTCACCCTATCCACTTATTTATATATTATTCCAGATATTTTGCCCGATGGAAAAATCAAAATACCTAAATATTAAAAACAAATTACATACTAGTAGATATAGGTATATAAAAAAATATCCTGTCTTACCTTTCCAATATTTAAGGTAATCAAATATTTACAATACAAAACGCACGTTTAAGCACGGCTAACTGCATAAAAACAATTCACAACATTCGGTCATCGCTGCGTCGTATTCGCGACTGGGTGTCCCCTGAGATTCCGCCGAACTCGAGTGGAGTAGGTATGATTCGCTTTCCGACCATTTGTATGAAGATAGAATACTGTATATATTATTACCGTGGTATAAAATTTGCATGATAATAAAGTGGTCTGATTGAAAATATAAGATATTTTTCAATGTTCCTATTCAGTTTATTTTGAAAACTTATGCAGTATATTCCATCCAAGTCTAACTAAACACAGTAGATTTAAATTTATTTTTGTGGTGAAAAACTCCAAGAACCAAGAAAGAAAAATATATAGTCATAAGTAGAAACATGTTTTATTTTCACCTTAAAAATAGTAAATCACTGTAAAGAAGCTGAATTGATCACAGGGAGAACCTTGATTCCATCTCTGTTGACCACTGTAACTTGGAAATTAGGTAGGCTGACAAATAGTCGCTTGTGCACTTCTTGAATACACTTCTTCAATATTTCATATGCCTCTTGTTCAGTAGCATCTGTGAGTACAGTACAAAAATATAATTAAATTTTTGAACACACTTATAATGTTTTGAAAGTGTATTCAGAAAAAAGTTACCTTTTTTATGATATCTGTCCATAATGCTCAAACTTAAATAGCCACCAAAACCATGAGCAGCAAATGGGACTTTCACACTAGAAGCTAGATAGTCCATGAAGTACAGTTCTGGGCCATTCTCTTTGTCATAACCACCCATTAAAAGGTTGACAAAATATGGGGTCTAGAAAAAATCATAGAAATATAAAACCTATCTAGTATTAATAATTAAGGAAAAAAAAAAGTTCTAAAAATTAAAACTTACGCTGCTACGTAGGTATTCGGCGAGGTTCCGACGAGTGAAATTTGCAGCTGCTGTAGGGCCCAATTCGTAACCATTGCGCATCTTGTACAACTGAATATTTTTTGCAATATACTCGGCAAACTGACTTGTATCCCCAGAGTCACCAATCACGCCCATCACCAATCTATCGGATATCTTGTAGATCTTTTCTTCGTCTATAACAATCACATAAATATCAATTCATTTTTGTAAAAAAAATATGTAAATAACGGGGATAAAAATAATCTCTAGACTTACCATCTTTCATTACCATAATGCTGTGACTATTAGTTTGATCAGCAGCTATCATGACAAAATCATTACACTGTATTCCTAACAGACATTGTAAATTAATATTAGACATCTTCCAGCAAATCTGTATGAAAATATATTAGAAAAACCGCAAACAAATTGCGAGTAACCTCTATTGCACTCAAACTTGTCAACTCACTTCCACAGACAAATAAACGTAAAAACGATAATAAAAAAAATCACGTCAAGACCACCGAGAGACTAAAGCCTCCCCCACATAGAGGCAATCTGAGGTTGCGGTCGCTAGCAAATTTTTGATAGTGGTGTCGATTCTGGCATGATTCTCTAAAGCTAAATTTAAATTTGATAACAGTGTAACTCTGTCATTCTCTATACAGACTGAAAAGGACAGACTAATGTCAAATTTAGTTTTAGGTTTAGAGAATCCTGCCAGAATCGACACCAGTGTGTATCATTACTAAGTTGTCTATGGTATGTACAATCCACATACATACATCGCGATCGCTATCAATCATATTAATGTTTTATCATATATTGATGTCGATTCTGGCATGATTCTCTAAAGCTTAACTTAAATTTGACAACAGTGCATCCTTGTTATTCTCTATACAGAATGAAAAGGAGAGACTGATGTTAAATTTAGTTTTAAGTTTAGAGAATCACGCCAGAATCGACACCAATGTTTTAATAAAACTTCGTGAGATTGTTGGGTTACGTGTATTGAGTATGCCTGATATTTTTCGGATTTTTAATAATTAAGTATTTCTTTCGTTTTTTATTTTTTTTATTTGGTTCTTTTTTTGTCATTTCTTCCTTATGAGTAATTATTCATTTTAAACACGTCTACATATAAGTTGCAAAACAACTAAAAATAAGCACTCCTAAAAAAACTAAAAAAAATGGGTGCGTGTACTTATGTAGGCGCGTGAGAAGTTATCCTTCTTTGGCATCGTTTAAAATTAGTTTTTAATTGCATGCAAATAATTAATTACAATAAATTAATAAAGAGTCTGGAAAAGGACACAGTCAATAAAGTTCAGTTTTAATTTGAAAAAATAAATAAATAATCAAAATATTCAATTAAAATCGCTACTGAATATAATTTATTAGAACATATGTGATTTGCACTTGTATGAAACTCAAACACGTATTCCGAATATACAAACTAGAAACATGTGGATAAATATTATAAATATGAATACCTATAACTGTTATTTTATTACAAAAAATAAAGATGTGGTTTTTGGTTCTACTACACCAATGGTCAAGAGATGGCGCTGTAGTCTCCTGAATCGCGCTTTGGTTCCGTTGTTCCAGATTAATAAATACTTTTGATAGGCCTTCACAATGCAGTCGTTAGCACCCACTAAATAGAGATTCTATTTCTACTTTGTTGGTAGATTTTCTTAATGTGCGGTAAACACAAAAGTAACGCATGAAGTTGGTCGCTAGCGACCAACTTCATGCTGTTAATTTTTTGTGTTACAGTGATGCGCGCGCATCTTAAAATTTCACTCTCATCATTTTTTCATAACGCGCCTAAAGAAGTATAACTTCAAAAATAATGAATGCCTCCAGGCAAGATCAGCACCGGGAGCAACGACCGGCGGCCGCCTGTGTAGGTACCTACTACACGCACAGATGACTCGGCCCTTACCTACTTACCGCTTTGATTCCACACTATTTAAAAACATTACAATGAAATAGTCTTAGATGCTATATTATAATTATTTATTCACTGATACACAATACCATTCAATATTATTTCATAAGCACAGGTAATTAAAGTTGTGGACGTGGCCGCAACCTTGGTCGCAGAGGCTACGGTTGGGCTGCGGCTGCGATCTGCGGCCACGACCACGACTGGTCATGACGCTACCATATTGGTTGTCGTTTATTTCATTAATTAATAACCCTGTATCAAAACTTATTGTAGAAAAAAACTTCGTCATATCCAGTTAAGGAACGGTATGAAGCATGTTCATTCACGAACTGTCCGCATGACCTTGACACTGAGAATGACCGCATTCGCTGTCGCAGATCTAGAGCGGGCCAGTACGACTGATCGTTGCGACTAACTTCCGTATAGTTTGCTGTGAGCGCTCGCGCTCGCGCTCTGTATCTGCGATCGCAAATGTGGCCTGGTCGCACCAGCCATTCTCAGTGTCGTGCTGATAGTTCGTGAGTGAGCACGCTTCGTATCGTTCCGCAAGTCGATTATTTTCTGCAATGAGATTTGCTACAGTTATTTCTTAATGAAATAAAGAAACGACCAGTAATATGGTCGCTTTACGAGCAGTCGTGGTCATTGCCACAAACTTGTCCGCAGCCCAACCGTAGCTTCTGTGACCAACTTTGCGGTGACGGCCACGGCCACGACTGGTCGTGGTCGTGGCCTAGTGCACGACGTGCCTTAGTTAATCTGGTCGTGGCCATGATCGTCTAGTGCGCGAGGTGCCTTACTGAGGTAGTAACAAATATCAACGGCAGTTCTTTTTGTAAATGTTTGACTATAGAAATACAAGGCTTTTCTTTAGTCTGAGTCTTCTTAAATAGTACGGCGGACTGTTTCCGCAACTCGACACCAAGTGCCTATTTTGCGTGGGGAAGGCTTTTATTTATTTAACTACAAGTATTAAAAAACATAATCTTTGATAACGAAAATCAATGAAAAATAGCGGCAACCCTTATTGTGTTTCATATTTTTTTTGGTTCAAATAACTTTTCAATAAACTCTTAATGATATGTAAATCAGATGTACTTACGGGATGATTATGATGTGAAAGCACCACCCCCCCTCTACCCGCGCGCGGTGCTTTGCTTTGATTACAACAATGAGAAGCTAGCATATCATACAAAATATCATAATACTTAAGTTACTCTTTGCTCTAATGGCAACATTAGCCGTCATGTCACAATAAAAGAGGAAGAAGACTTTTTGTCTAATTTGAAAAAAAAAACCCTTAAAGATATCTTCATATGACTATCCAAAAAACCAAAGAAAAATATATTTCGGTCTGGCCTAATATATAATATCACTTTTGCCCGTTTCCTGCTATCACTCGAAATACCTTAGAACTAACCTATTTTTATGTCTGCTGTTATTTCAAGTCTTTCTAGTTTGTTCAAGTGTATAATAAATAAGCAAAATGTTTCGGAAAGTTGCTGTAGGTATATCAGGAGGCGTCGACAGTGCGGTTGCGGCATTTATTCTTAAAAGAACTGGCAAGTATTCATATAGTTTGATTTTTCAGAGGATTAGTAATTAAGGTACGTATTTAAATTTATCAGTGATATCTTTATTTTTCAGGTTATCAAGTAGAAGGAGTGTTTATGCGCAACTGGGATAATAATTACGAAGCAGGGTATTGTTCTGATCAAAAAGATTTTGAAGATGCAACATTTGTTTGCCGTAAGCTAGACATACAATTACATAGAGCTTACTTCATTAAAGAATATTGGAATGAAGTCTTTACTGCATTATTGAACGAATACCAGTCTGGGCTGACACCAAATCCGGATATATTGTGCAATAGATATATTAAATTTGACAGCTTTTTTGAACATTGCAGGAACAGTTTAGGAGTGGATGCAATTGCTACTGGTCATTATGCAAATACCTCTTTTGGTCCATTTCTTGAGAAATATTCTGAGAATGAAGGTCATCTTTTGCACTTTTAATTTCAAATACTCCATGAATCATCTGATCATGTAATAAAAGATTTTCATTATTTTAGGAGTACGTTTGTTACAGCCAGCTGATAAACACAAAGATCAAACATTCTTTTTGTGTCAAGTCAAACAGTTTTCTCTAAGGAAGTGTATGTTTCCTTTAGCAAATTTAGTGAAGAGTGAAGTAAGGGAAATAGCTTCAAAGGAGGGCCTTTTAAATGTAGCAAACAAAAAAGATAGTACGGGTATTTGTTTTATAGGGAAAAAGAAATTTCAACATTTCATTGAAGAAGTAAGTTTGTTTCTTATGTAATTAATTAATTAGGTGCTGAGAAATAACATGGCAGATATTTTTTAGTTCCCAGAATGCTGCCATCCATGTGTTGCTTTATGAAAGGTTTTCTCTTTTTGTTGACACTGATATTTATTATTTCTTTTAGTACATTGAAACTAGAAAAGGACTGTTCATAGACATTGACAATGGCCAAATAGTGGGAGAACACAGTGGTCTTCATAAATGGACTGTTGGACAGAGATGCTGCGTGTCTGGCTACAAAAAAGCTTACTTTGTATTTAAGAAAGACTTGGAATCAAATAATATCTATGTGGTAACAAACTCAAATTTATCTCTTTATTTATTTTTTTAATTTATGATACTAATTATAGGTTTATTTTTATGTAGGTTGCAGGTACTACACACCCAGCTTTGTGGAATAAATTATTATTTACTCAAGGCCCTCATTGGATAGAAAGTGAACCATTAGATTTGCAAGCAAGTAATGTATTTGAATGTTATTTCAGATTCCAACATACTAAGCCACTTGTCTCATGTAAGGTTGTGAAAAATAGTGAGGGTTTAACTATCTTATTAGAAAACAATATAAGAGCATTAACAGAGGGGCAATATGGTGTTTTGTACAAAAATGGAGAATGTCTTGGTAGTGCTAAAATTAAAGAAGTATGTCATGATTTAAAATTTTTGTAGATGATTATCTATGTTATTGTTGTTTTATTGTATTCAATAATAAAATTGTTTAATTAATACATCATTCTGTTCTAACTATTGTTCATATGTTCATAACTATTTCTATAATCATCGAATTTCACTTAATACAAACCACCCATGAATACAACAATGATCACATTACTTACAACATGTGATGTCAATGTAGATGGCAATTAAAGGGCTCAGCTTTCCATTAGTTGTGGTTGAGTAGCAAGCTAAGATTTTTGTCACGGAAAGTATTAATTATTAGGAACACACATACAAAATCTTTTTATTCGGAAACAAATAGAACTCGAGGAAAAAAATTTTGAAAATTAATATTTTGGTACTAAATTCCATTAGTTGTGGTGGAATTTCGGGGTAGTTTTGATGTGGTTGGTCTGCGTAGGGAGAACAGCCCCGCCTGCTGTGACAAAGCCGCAAGCCTCGTGCGACCCGTAGCGCCTGAGGCTGGTCCAATAAGCCGAAGATGTGAAGGAGAGAGATGCTTGTGACT